AAGAAGAAGTCTGTCCAATTTCTAGAAAAATTTGATTCTTAAAAACATTTACTGGCCCGCTTGCCATTTGTATAAGTTTCTCGGCTGAGATGTTGCTACTGTGCACGGTGGCTGTTATTGAATAAAGTTCAGAAGTTTTTGCATGTGGTGACCTGCTTAAGGCGCCTTCGACAATGTTTGCTTTGGCAGGTTTATAATTTAACTCATAGTCATACTCCTCTAATATCGCTTCCATCTCTTCATTTTGTTGTTGTGGTTTTTGTGGATAAGTGCGTAAGTTAATGGTTGGTGATCAGTGAATATTATTACCTTCTTAAAGTTTTCAATGACCAAATAATGGCTAACATTTCTTTTTCGTTTGTTGCGTAATGCTCTTCAGTTTGGTTTAAAGTTCTAGATATGAGCATAATCGGCATACTATTCTGAGCTAGTACTGCATCTATAGCGTAGTCAGATGCGTCTGTTGTCAGTTCGAAGTCTTTTCTGTAGTCAGGGTATGTCAACATAACTTCTTCTGCTGCAAGTGAACGTTTTAGCTTATTGGGCAATTGGGATTTTATTGGAGACGTGTCTTGACGATCGTCCACCTTCCCCTCTTAAAAGGACTGTCAGGGGTTTCGCCAGTTTTGAATATTCTATTATAAATCGGCGATAATATCCTGAAAGGCCTAAAAATGAAAGTAAGCGTTAATCGTTTTTGGTACTGGGAATACCAGTATCGATTTTACCTTGTTTGGATTCGTTTTAATTCCATGTCCACTATAAATCCGAGAACATCAACCTCTTTTTTTAAAAATTCACATTTGACGAGTTGGACTTTCATATTGCCTTTTTCCAAAGTTTCGAAAATTTGTTTTACATTGCGTAGATGATTTACTTCGCTTTCGCTCAAAATTATTATGTCGTCTATGCAGACGAAACATCTTTTTCCAATATGTTCTCTTAATATGTCATCAAGAGCACGTTGGAAAATAGAAGGCGCATTCTTCAGGCCAAACGGCAAACGTGTAAATTCATATTTGCCGTTATTAACTGAAAATTATGTCTTCTCTTTGTCAGATTCTTTAAGCTGAATCTGAAGGTAGCCACTTTTCAGATCTAAAACGAAAAAATTGTTTTTTCCTAACTGCGCGAAAACTTTATTGATATCTGGGGCAAGGTACCTATCCGCAATGGTGACCGAATTTAATTTCCTGTAGTCGATAACCATTCTGTACTTTTTTGGTCCAGAGGCATCTAATTTTTTTGGGACGACCCAAATAGGAGAATTATATGGTGACCGTGATACGGTAGTATCTCGAATAAATTGGGTTTTCATTTTGTGTTCTTATCTCACCGACCATTTCGGTGATAAAAGTTAATTTCTCACCCGGATCGCAGAATAGGTTTGGATAGCTTGCTTTCAAGTTTCGCATTTTGGCTCTCTGTGCTTCTGTTACGTGATCGAGTCGTATATTTATTGTATTGACCTCTCTCGAGAGTTTCTGTTTCAACCGAATTTTTATGGAATTGCAGATTTTTATATAATTTTCCTGCATATGGATTTCTGCTTTTTAATCTCTGAGAGTGTCATTTCCTATTATGGCGTGAAATAAGGTCAGCGATGTTAAAACGTAGAATTTTATGTTACTGTCTTTAAGTCCGAAAGGGTTAGTTATTGTGTGGTGTGTTATCTGTACTTTACCCCCTACAGAGTTAGCTGAGAACGGATTTTCATTTTGAATTAGTTTCTCAACTAAATTTGGTTGAATATAATTTTTGTTCGAACCTGTATCTATCAGAATTTTTATCATCTCTCCGGTGCTCATTCTGCATTGTATGTATGGCAATGAAGAGTGAGTCATTCCAAAAAATTAATGTCAGTAAAGTCAACCAATTGTTCCCTATCGTACTGCTCAACATTCTCGACATATTCCGAGAGGCTTTCTTCGTCAGGCTTTTCCTGATCGTAACGGTCTATTTCTTCGATATATTCCTGCTCTTCTGCTGCTACTACATAAAAATTGTGTTGTGTTTTATCGCATTGGTTTGGATTAAAACCTGGTCTTTTAACGGCTATTTGAAAATTAGGTCTATTCATATAATTAATTATTTTGGATTGTACGCTCTGATCCACTTCCATAGGCTCTGGCCTTGGTTGTGGTTTTGGTGCAAACGGACGTTGTGGTTGTTGCTAATTATTGAAAAAGTTATTGTTTGGAAGCGCCCTCTGATAATGCTGTGGACGCATTATTTGTTGTGGCAGATGAGCCAAATGAGGGTAGTTAGTCTGACCACTTGGTTGCTGCATTGGCCGTTGTATTATTTACCGTGGAAGCGGTGGTGGAGTTGGTGCTCCGATGTATCTTTTAACTATGCCTTGAGCATAATTAGTCCTAAACTTCTGATTCTCTAGCTTTTGGCAAAGCTGAAGTGCCTGGGGCAATTCTTCTGGTTCTACAGTTCCGAGTAATCTTTGGAGGTCGCCATTTAAACCTCTTATGAAGTATCTAAGGCCTTGTCCCTATATGACTTGCTCAATAACTCCAAAGATTCTCCGCTCATCTCGATGCAAGAGATTTTATTCAATATTAAAGACAAATAGGTATAGACTTTCTGATAAAACTCTGTCACTGTTTGGCTACCCTGTATAAGCGCTGTTATTTGATATTCGAGAGTACGTGTATCGCGTTTGTCTGCGTAATGTTCAGTCAGGCATTTTGATATTGCAGTCCAGTTTAGAGGCGTGTTGTACGACTCGAGTACAGTATCTGCTTTTCCTATTACCTTATTCCTGATCATACTCAAGATGCCATAATATTTTGCAGTACCTTGTATTGAAGTGTAAACCTTCAATATGCGTTCTACACTTTTCTTCCAAGAGCTAAATTCTCCCTGTTGCCCTGAAAAGTCTCGAAGGCTTCTAGCAACATCTGGAATTTTATCCAGTTCGTTAAAATTGGTTGCGCCTATATTAATAACCCGATCCACCAACTGCTGTGCACTAGTGCCTGCACGGTTCTTGTTACCAAAGTATTTAAATCTTGTAAGCTAATCTGCTGTGGTAAATTAATGCCTACTTCTACCTGCTGGTTTGCCTGTGGACTACTGGTCCTGCACCAAGTACAGGTGGCCTAATCAAATTATTCGGATTGGCCATAACTATTGTTTTTTTTTGTTGATATGGAGGTGAATAAATTCTAAAGTTCTACGCACACAAGATAGATAAGCAGGGGCCGAATGGAATAGTTAACAAGAGAGAACGCTACAGTCGAGCAAGTTTACAGGCTATTTTACTGTCGGGCTTTTTTTTTATAATTTCTCACAACTTCTCTCTTATCTTTTTGTTTCACAATGTAATATTTGAATAATTTCTTAACTCTACTTACAATAAAATCAAGAACATTTTTTCATCACCGGCTGGTGGGTAGAATCCGGCTTGCTGCTGCTAATGAGGTACCCTTTCTCAGCACTCCCGTAACGGTGACTGCGAACGTATCACCGGTGGAATCACTTGTCGTATTGTCTTTCGAAGGGCAACCTTAGGGTGCACTTACCACGATTTTTTTATTCACTCGCGCGGAATTATGCAGCTTCTCGAGATGCTGAACTTGCACTGAATTTTTAATACAACACTCGCGAAGGATGGAGCTTCTTTAGGTGCACTTATATCCTTTTACTTTTAGCGATTTCAGCCGATGCCCCACGTTGGGCGTCAATTAAGTTTATATTAGTTATGAGTCATGAAAAATAGATATTTGTTATCTTGGCATAAGCCAACTGTTTATTTATTAAATGCAAATTCAAGACTAAACTAACTTAAGCTATCTTAGCTTTATCAAAGCTTCGTGCCGTCGCAGAGGTGTTGGCCGCGTTGCTGGCGTCGTTAGCAGCTGTGACTTCGACGTTGCCTGTTGTTTCCGAGGAATTCTTTGCTGGAAGTGGCACTGCACTTGGGCGTGCACTGGGAATCATCCAGACCTAGCGTCAGCAATATTCCGGTGCGCGTTTGTGTTGCTAACTTATATTTCATCATTGAACAGGAATATTTGATTTTCTTCTAAGTGGATTATTAAATTCTTTTTTACAATTGGTTTCAAAAGTATATTCTGATAATTTGTTTTCTCAACATTGGGTATTTTGACAATGTAATGAAAATTCCAGCATTTCTTCTACTGAGAGCGGTGGAATACTCTGTAAATATGTTTTGAATAATTATAGATATTAAAAAAAGTATTGCACTCAACCAAAGCATCAGCATCAACAACAGCTGCGGGCAGCGCTTGGGCAGCAAATATATTTTGGCTATACTTTCTGCTAAATTGGTCTATAATGATAAAACTTGGCATACGGACACATAAGAACTAACTGGGGGCATTTGCAAAATTTGACGGAGTATAACAAGTAGAGAAGCTAAAGTCGGGTGTCCTGACTCTGAAATACTCTGTACATATGTGTTGAATAATTATGAGTGTATGTGTGTATTTGTGTATCTGTGTATGTCTCCTTCTGTGTGTTCCATGTACACTCGCACAAAACTAATATACCCTTTTACCGTTTGGGTACAGGGTACAAAAAACGAGTAAGATTTGTTTAATTATATAATTAGAGTTTTTGCAAATTTTGCAATTCAAGTCAAAACCCTGCCTTTTTTGTAACGGGGCTTTTTTTGGCTTATATCTTTTTATCTTGACGGTTGAATGTTATAATTGTTTTACTACTCTAATTTAAAAAAAAATCATTTTTACTTTTTCATTTATTTATTTAATATTTTGTCGTACGAATGTTGCGTCAGATTGGAAATGATCATATGTAATAGGCTGGTGGGTAGTACATCATGTGCGGTTGCTCTTACAAAAACTTACCTGAACTGACGCCCATGGACTGCTTATTTATTAGCTTAACTTATTTCATTGCAGTTATTTGTGACACTTATATTTAGAAATTTCAGCGCCCATAGGGAAAGTATTTGATGAATAAGTTCTCTGACAGGAACGATTGCGAAATCACAATCCAAAAGAATGATAAAACATACGGCCACGGGTTTTTATGATTTGGCAACTGCGAATGTCTCCGCCATTCTGAACGTACGACACTCGGCTTCCTATAGTTCTACTAGTTCAAGTGGTGGTTTGGCTATACGCAATAATAATATTAACAGCAATAATCACAATAACAACAAGTTGGATATGATACCACACAATGGAGGCAATAGCGATTTATTTAGGAACAACCAAAGCACCAAAGAAGAAGGGACTGGCAATGGGCGTGAAAGCTTGCCAAGTTTCGGCTTTACGCAAGAACAAGTTGCATGTGTGTGTGAGGTAAGCGGGTAGTGGATGAAATGACATTTAAATAATTGAGGTGCCTTTTACATTTCACAGGTGCTTCAACAAGCTGGTAATCTTGAAAGATTGGGTCGTTTTCTTTGGTCATTGCCACAATGTGATAAATTGCAATTTAATGAATCTGTGCTAAAAGCAAAAGCAGTCGTGGCATTTCATCGAGGGCAGTACAAGGAGCTGTATCGACTACTTGAACACCATCACTTTTCACCGCAAAATCACTCTAAGCTACAAGCTTTGTGGTTAAAAGGTGAACACACTCACTCCTCTGCCTGGAACTCCCAAAAATATTTTTTTCTTTGTAGCGCATTATGTGGAAGCCGAAAAGCTGCGAGGAAGACCTTTGGGTGCAGTTGGAAAATATCGTGTTCGCAGGAAATTTCCCCTGCCGCGCACTATTTGGGACGGTGAGGAGACAAGCTATTGTTTTAAGGTAAGCAGATACGTACAGTCTCTTATGAATTTATTGACACATTTGAATTTAATTGTAGTGGAAGATATGCATGTTTATAGCCAGTACCCAAAGGGTAAAAGGCTATAGAAGTTTTGTGCGAATGTATGTAACACACAGAAGGAGGCGTGGCAAACCCCACAAAGTATATATATTATTGACGAGTCGATTAACTATGTCCGTCTGTCTGTATGAACGCAAGGATATCCGAAAGTATAAGGCTTAGAATAACCAAACTTGGTATCCAGATTCTCCTAAGTCCGAGAAAGTACTCTCCCCCCACTCCACCGCACTCAGATTTGGCAAATACCTCGAGTTAGAGATTATGAGTCCGCATGTTAAGTTTCACTACGATAGGTAATTTAACACGAAAGTTATTGCCATAAATATTTTCTCTGCCGAAGCTCTGCCTGCAGCTGTTGTGGTTGTTGCTTCTTTGACTTATTCCTGTATTGCATACATGCACGCATATAAACGCGCATAGAAACCATGATGTAAATGTATGCTGTTGAAACTATACATAAACATATCTTCTTATACATATGTATGGATTGAATTTTTATAGTCTGTACATGAAATGTACAAGAGTATATTAGATTTGCGCGAGCTGAAAAATGTAACAGGTAGAAGGAGGCGTGGCAGACCCTACAAAGTATTCTTGATCAGCATGACAAGACGAGTCTATCTAGCCCAGTCTGTCTGTCTGTCCGTCTGTCCGTATCAATACCTGTATCTCAAACTATCTAGACTATAAGAGCTATGGACATCAAATTTTGAACAAAGATGCCTTATGTACAATGTGCAAGTTTGTTTTATATTTTTTATTTTCCCCCCACTTCCTCCCAATGGGGGTTTTCACAATTTTCCGTTCGTATAATCGCCTAAATCTCGGAGACTGTAAGACCTAGGGACACCAAATTTAGGTCTCAGATGCCTTATGTGAATACGCAGAAAATGTGTGTGTATGTGTATTTTGGGAATTTTCCTCCCTCCCCCTTCCCCCAGCAATCACTTATAGGCAGATTTAACAGGAAGTTATAGCTATATATGTATATATGGCCATGCAGGCTCCGCACATACATACACGAATAATTATTGTGCACATATGTAAAGAGTATTGCATAGTCGGGACACCCGATTTTAGCTTCTTAATTTTTTAGTTTTCTATAATTATTCTACACATACATATGTACAGAGTATTTCTATTTTAATTGTATCGGATTTAATATGTCAGCAATCCGGGCAGGTCGGGATTGATAAACAGATAATAAATTGCAAACCTATTAACTTAAAATGTCGTGTCCCAACTTTTAGGAAAAATCTCGATTGGTACTAAGGGACTGGTATGCGCACAATCCATATCCATCACCCCGCGAAAAACGTGATTTAGCAGAAGCAACTGGACTCACTACTACACAGGTAAACCCCAAAAATATCAACAAATTTGCTTAACCGCATATATAAGGACTGTCGACTCTATCTCTATATATATAAAACAGTTTGTCCTGACTGACTGACTGACTGATTGGCAATCAACGCACAGCCCAAACGGTAAGAGCTAGGAAGCTGAAATTTGGACACAAGATCCTTCTTATAGTGAAAGTGAGCACTAAGAAGGGGTTTCGGAAAATTCGAGCTCCAAATGGGGGGAAAAAGAGCTAAAACGTTTGTATGAAAAATCTACAATTTTTATCCGTCTTCAAACTTAGTTTGTATACTCTCACAAAGAATACAAAAAAAACTGTATACTTGGTTTTTCAATATTTTTCCTGTGGCCTGAATAATAATGATTTTTCGGTGGAAAATTCGGTAAACGAAAAGCTATTTGCAATCAACGCACAGCCCAAACGGTAAGAGCTAGGAGGCTGAACATGTTGTCTTCAGTGGTGTAGGTGAGCACTAAGAAGCGGTTTTGGAAAATTCGAACGCCAAAGGGGGGAAAACGGGCTCCAACGTTTGTATGAAAAACCTACAATTTTCATCCAATTAACTTCAAACTTAGTTTGTATACTCTCAAAAAGAATGCAAGAAAAACTGTATACTTGGTTTTTCACCATTTTTCCTGGGGCATGAAAAAGGGGGGTTTTCCGTGGAAAAATTTAAACACAATCAACACCCCACAGCCCAAACGGTAAAAGTAAGGAAACTGAAATTTAGGCTCAAGTATCCTGTCATAATGTAGGTGCTCACTAAGAAGGGTTTTTGGAAAATTCGAGCTCCAAAGGGGGGAAGTCGAGGTCCAAAGTTTGTTTAAAAAATCCGCATTTTTCAACCTATCGACTTAAAACTTAGTTTCTAAAATCAAATTTGTGTTGGAGCTTGAATTATTGCGGTTTTAATATTTATTCACTATTTCAAATGAAAAGTTTGTGTTATAAATTTAGTCCGACCGATTTAAAATTTGGGTAATGTAATCTACGTAACTAAATCTACAACTTTGCATTCAAGGATTTTCAAAATATGCATTTTACAAAAGCAGGCAGAACAAACAATACAAAATATCAAACAGTTGGGGAAAACTAAGTATACATACACACACACGCACACATGCAAGCAGCTGTTCGTGTAGTTGCGTGCAAACGATTGAAATAGCCAAAGCAACATGTGAGACACTAATGTGTGAATGTCCATACATATGTGCACATCTATGTATGTACATATGTATCTACATATGTATGTATGTATGTACATTCGTCTTGCACTGACAGAGCAAGAAATGTTAATTAATTGAAAATTATATAACATTTTTAAAAGTAATTTTTTCTTTGTTTAGTGCATTTGGCATTAGTGTTTTCATTAATAACTTTATGCAGCAACAACAAATATCAAATAGTTGGGGACATCACATACACACATTCACTCACACAACAAGCAACAGTTCGAGTATGTGTGCGGTTCTCTACGTACGGTTGAAAAAGTAAAGAGAAACATACATATGTATGTATGCCTGTGTATGAATATAGCATGTATGTACATTCGTATTAATGTATACATTGGGCAATCGAACACAGTTGTTTGATTGTACAAAAAATAATGCTCTAAAAACAACAACAACTGCAAGTCATTGGCTCGCTCTTTTTCTTTCGTTTTGACCATTTTATGTTAATTGCAAAGGCAAAACGCCAAAAGTGTACAGTTACCGTCGCTAGGCAACGACTGCGTAAGCGATAGTAAAGCAGAAACCGAATAACGGAGCTACGCATATTCTGCTTCGCATTGCGGGCAGATGTATGTATGTATATGATTTGTTCTTATCGATCTCAATAAATAATTAGATTTTATTATTTAAATATTCTGCTTATTGCATTCAAACTTCGATATTTTGATGGTATCGGTGGCTTCAACTATCGAAAGTTTTACTCTAGCAAATTGAGATGAGAATTGTCAGTGCTTTTTGATCGTGGCTCATCGCTGCACGGCATTGACACGAGTGCCGTGTTTCATATTCCGAGTTTGTGCGTGACCGTATTGACTCAATATGGCACGAAAAGACTCAAATGTGAATTTAAAATTAGGATATACCCTTATAATTATTGCCCTTTTTTGAACATAGTCTATCTTAAAACGTTGCGTTATCTCTATATATAAAAAAGTTTGTCCTGACTAATTGGTGATCAACGCACAGCCCAAACGGTAGTGTGTAGGAGCACACTAAGAAAGGCTTTTGGAAAATTCTAGCTCCAAAGGGGGGAAAACGAGCTTTAAAAAATATTAGTTATAGAGGGTCATGTTCGTTTAACGAAATAGTTTGGCAAGAACAAAAATGTAACGGACTACTGAACAATTTTTTGTCAAGAACAGAAAATGTTCATTTAAATACCTTAAACGTCTTCCTACTGGTAGCTTAGAAGGTGAAAACATATGGGTATGTTATGCACACACAAAATAAATACAATTGGAAACATTATATTGAGCCGGGTTATGACGGGCAATATCTGCTAGTATGTATATAAAACAGTTTGTCCTGACTGACTGACTGATTGGCAATCAACGCACAGCCCAAACTTTAAGAGCTAGGAAGCCCAAATTTGGACACAAGTTCCCTCTCATAGTGAAAATGAGCACTAAGAAGGGGGAAAACGGGCTCCATAGATTGTATGAAAAATCTGCAATTTTCATTTGATTGGATTCAAACTGCGGTTGTGTAATCTATAAAAGAATTCAAACAAGGAAGGCACATTAGTGTCGTTTGCACGCAACTACACGAACAGCTACTCCATTTCCCGCCTATGGGGGTTTTTCAGATTTTTCATTCGTATAATCGCCACAATCGGACACAAAATTTTAGTCCAAGATGCCTTATGTGAATGCGCAGAAAATGTGTATGTTGGAATTTCTGTCCCTCCCCCCTCTCCCAAGCAAATCGTGATTTTCTGTAACTCCCGTAATTCTTGGATTTTCGAATTCAAATTATGCAAATACCCCAGTTAGTGATTATGTGTCCGAATGCCAACTTTTACTATGATAGACCGATTTAACAAGAAGTTATAGCCATAAATATATTTGCTGCCCTAGCGCTGCCCGCAGCTGTTGTTGATTCTGGTGCTTTGGTTGACTGCAAACATGACACGACACGAATAGACGCACATAGATATACATACACTCGCATAGACGCAAGTAAATGTGCAATTATACACCATTTACGTGAGTTCGAATACCAAGAAAGGTAAAATCGATTTAAAATGTTTTTTAATTATCTTAATTTTTTTAATTTCTATAAATATTCTAAAAATATGTACAGAGTAATTCAAAGTCGGGACATCCGACTTTACCTATTTTACTTGTTAAAAAATCATATGCATAAATTATTATTTAAACGTATCGTGCATTGTTTAATCAAAATTTGAATTTTGTTTTCCCTTGACGGACTACACATACTCGGTTCTCTACCTACTGACTGACTGACAGAGTGATTGGTGATCAACGCACAGCCCAAACGGTAAAAGCTAGCTGAAATTTGGACTCAAGTATCCTTTCATCGTGTAGATGCCACCTGAGAAGGGATTTTCGAAAATTCGAGCTCCAAAGGGGGGAAACAAGCTCCAACGTTTGTATAAAAAATCCACATTTTTCAACCGATCGACTTAAAACTTGGATTCTAAAATCAAATAAAGAATACAAATAAAAATGCATACTCGGTTATTTTAATTTTTTCTTGGAGACTGAATTATTGGGGCTTTCTTGGGGCACAGAAGGAAACCGCGTCAACAGCCCATAGCTCAAACAATAAGCGCTAGATAGCTGAAATTCGGGGTCAAGTATCCTATCATAGTGAAGGTGCGCATTAAGAAGGGATTTTGGAGTATTCGAGCTCCGGTTGGGGATATCACATAAACAAACTTACTGACACACTCACAGACACAAACGAACTGCTGCACTGCGTGGACACGAGTGCCGTGTTTCATATTCGTTCATATTCATATTTTGTGCGTGTTCGTGTTGACTCAATAAAGCACGAAAGGACACGAACGTGAACTTTGCATAGAAACAAAAACAACACGACCAAAATATAATTTAAAGTTAGCAAATACTCTAATATTTATTCCAGTTTTTTGCACAAAGTCTACTTTAAACAAGTAAAAAAGCTAAAGTCGGGTGTTCCGACTTTGAAATACTCTGTACATATGTTTACAATAATTATAAAAAAATTTAAAAAAATTAAGAAAATTAAAAAAAAAACAGGAAAGGAATGCTAAAGTCGAGCAGGCTCAACTCTTAAATACCCTGTACCACCGCACAAAAAAGTAATTTAATTAATTAATTAATTTAATGAACTAAATTAATTTAATTAATTAACTAAATTAAATATAAAATATTCCATGCATGCATGGAATACATTTACATACATTTACATCAGAATCGTGTCTATGCGTGTTTGTGTACTTGTACATATGTATGTATGTGTGCATTGGGCCTGGTTATATGGCTATAACTTTCTTTCCGATCATTCTATCATAATGAAACTTGGTATACGGCTATATAATCACTAACCTAATGTGACCTAGTTCAAAATTCGAAGAATTACGGGAGTTATAGAAAATCGTTAATAGGGGGGGGAGTGGGCGGCTGGATCAGGAAAAATGAACAAACTCGTCCTTTCTCGGGCTCAGGAGAATCTGTATACCAAGTTTGGTTATTCTAGCTCTTATACTTTCGGAGATCCTTGCGTTCATACAGACAGACAGACGGACAGACAGACGGACAGACAGACGGACATAGCTATATCGACTCGGCTTGTCATGCTGATCAAGAATATATATACTTTGTGGGGTCTACCAAGCCTCCTTCTGTGTGTTCCATGTGCACTCGCACAAAACTAATATACCCTTGGGTACAGGGTATAAAAATGGGATCTATTTTACGTCGCGGTATTCGAACTCACGTAAAGGGTGTATAATTGCACATATACAAAGCAATCG